CCCCCCCCCCATAGGGGATGCAGGCACGCTTCAGTCTGAAGGGAGAACTTATTCCCCCACATAAAGACTTGCCTACACATTTAGGCCTGCACCACCATGGAGAGGAAGCAGAAGTAAGAAAAAATGCACATATGACTCTGCCCCAAAACTAGATTAGACTTGCCGAATGGTGTGTTAACATTTATGTAAATCCCATTGTGTCAGTGGATCTATCCTAGTTGGGACTATTCTTCTGTCAGTCCTTTATATAGACTTGGGCATTAGATAGATGAGGTGTGATTAATGAATCTTAGCCAGAGATAGATAGCAGTCCTTACTTTTGCATAAATTTAAACAGAAGTAGAAGTAAATAAATAATTACTGTAAAAGAAAATTATTGGAATAAGCAAGATCAATAATATTGGGAATTTCTCACCTCCCCATTAGCCCTTAAAGAAGCCGCCCTTGCAAGTACACCCCTGCCACTTACTTCTTATATACATATCATTTCAACTGAGAAGGCATCATACAAAGGAAAATCACAAATTAGAGCTTGGAATGTGAATTGTTTTTTCTTTTTAAATTGTTTGTTATCCATTACTTTTTACTTTAAAAAGTAACTTAGTGGCATTCCCCATTACCCTCAGGGTTCTTAGTTATGGCCCATTGCTATATAATTTTTTTGTTATCTTTGAACTGTTTAAAATATAAATATTACTAAAATGGCTTGACTCCTCTGGAACTATAACTATGTAGTCACCATTAATACAGGCACCTTGTTGGCTATTGGTATTGTACTATGATCTTGAATGCATGGTGGAACTAACAGAAGAATAATCCCTTTGACCTTAAAAATATTGTTTAGATATCTATTCTGCATCTTGGAAATTTAATACAATAATATATAGTCATTCTTACCATAATGTTGGGATATTTTATATATTTATCTTTTACTTTAGAGGGCTGGCTACTCTCTTGAAGAGCTCTTCCACTTATCTCGTAGCCAAGTCATTCAGCAAAGGACTTTGGCTTTGCAAGTGCTGTCCCATGTTGTCCAGAAGGTGAGTAGAACATTGCATGAAATTGTCTTCATCTTCTTTTGCCCTTTAGTAGAGAGATGTAGCTGTTTGGCTTCGTTAAGTCAAGGTAATAAGATGGTAAGTTGGAAGTTAAATTCCACTCCACATGAACAAATTACCATTTGCTAAAACATCAATATGCTTTTTGATCAGGCTTATCATGCAGTTAGTCCTGGATAATCTCTTAAATTATTTCATGCTTTTTTTGCTGACATGCATGATTTCTTGAAAAGTTTGATCTAAAATAATTGTTTTCATAAAGTACCTTATTTTCTGGCGTATAAGACTACTTTTTAGCCCTGGAAA